CAGGAGGCCGGTAGTGGGAGTTGCTCCGTTTTTATGCGGCTGGCGTAGTCGGTACAGATGATTGGAAGGGGGCGTCTGCTGAGCGATAGGCTGGGGATGAGAGCCGGCCTGGAGGGGGTAAATTTGGTTAACGTCTACCAAATTGAATTCTCGCGGGCTGCATATCTACCAAGACCCGGCCATCCCTCCAAACTTTCATCTCAAACAAGGAGAAGACTGATCAGAGATGCAGCAAAGAGGCCCATGATCACTCTGGATGAACTGCAGATAACTACAGCTGAGGTGGGAGAGTCTGTCCATAGGACAACAATCAGTCGTGCACTGCACAAATCTGGCCTTTATGGAAGAGTGGCAAGAAGAAAGCCATTTCTCAAAGATATTCATAAAAAGTCTTGTTTAAATTTTGCCACAAGCCACCTGGGAGACACACCAAACATGTGGACGAAGGTGCTCTGGTCAGATGAAACCAAAATCGAACTTTTTGGCCTCAATGCAAAACGATATGTTTGGCGTAAAAGCAACACAGCTCATCACCCTGAACACACCATCCCCACTGTCAAACATGGTGGTGGCAGCATCATGGTTTGGGCCTGCTTTTCTTCAGCAGGGACAGGGAAGATGGCTAAAATTGATGGGAAGATGGATGGAGCCAAATACAGGACCATTCTGGAAGAAAACCTGTTGGAGTCTGCAAAAGACCTGAGACTGGGACGGAGATTTATCTTCCAACAGGACAATGATCCAAAACATAAAGCCAAATCTACAATGGAATGGTTCACAAATAGACGTATCCAGGTGTTAGAATGGCCAAGTCAAAGTCCAGACCTGAATCCAATCGAGAATCTGTGGAAAGAGCTGAAGACTGCTGTTCACAAACGCTCTCCATCCAACCTCACTGAGCTCTAGCTGATTTGCGAGAAAGAATGGGAAAGAATTCCAGTCTCTCGATGTGCAAAACTGATAGAGACATACCCCAAGCAACTTGCAGCTGTAATTGCAGCAAAAGGTGGCGCTACAAAGTATTAGCGCAAGGGGGCTGAATAATATTGCACGCCCCACTTTTCAGTTTTTTATTTGTTAAAAAAGTTTAAATTATACAATAAATGTCGTTCCACTTCACGATTGTGTCCCACTTGTTGTTGATTCTTGACAAAAAATTACATTTTTATATCTGTATGTTTGAAGCCTGAAATGTGGCGAAATGTTGAAAGGTTCAAGGGGGCCGAATACTTTCGCAAGGCACTGTAGTTGTGCCGCCTGGTAATCACAAGTGTTCGGAATAGTTTCTGTGTGTGACCTGTTAAATTTGTGTTTTATAAATTAATAATGATGCCCTGGTTTTATACAGTTCTTTTTGGGTCACTAAATATATGCTTTAAATGTTTTGGAAACTGAATTGGACTACTGTAGCCACAGCTCTCCTGAGGTAATCAGACACATACACGCGCTCTTCCCTAGATCGCTCTAAGACTAGAGCGCAGGACTGTATTAAACAATATTTGTTGTCAAAGTAGAAGCGAGTCTCACATTTTCAGGAAGACTTTTCCAGATTGCTGCATGATTCTGAAAAGCTGCCTCCGCATGTCCCTGCAGCCCTCAGAGTCCGAGTTGGTACATAAAGGTACTGACATTTTTACATAATCAATTAGTTAGCCAATTATTCTGTTGACCTACCAATTAGTTACTTAGATCCCGAAAAGTCAGAGAGGATGATGTTTTAGTGCTAATCAAGAAGGTCCTGGGCACAATCCCAGTCGGAACAAAGCCTTTCTGAGAGGAGATGTATGCTCTCGAGGGTTTCCCCCTGTGCTTTGGTTTCTCCTAACGTCTATAATAAAAACGTGTACAACAAGTAAAACCCCGCCAGCTCTGGTCCTGACCAAGCTGAGCATCAATATCTGGAGATGGGCCCCCAGGCGCTGTACCATGAGACCTCTGCTCCTGATTAGAGGCCCTTGTGTCATGGCTGCTCCTCCAGCTGCCCTCACCCCTCCTCTACTGTCCCCTGAGCAGAGGCAGGTGTGGGGCAGCTGCTAATCGCTCTGCATGGCTGGATCTACTCTCCACTCACCAGGATTCAAGAGCCTCAGGTGCAGATCTAGGTGCCTCAGGTGCAGATCTAGGTGCCTCAGGTGCAGATCTAGGTGCCTCAGGTGCAGATCCAGGTGCCTGATCATAAATCTACAGTTACGTCTTGTGTCTATCTTGCTGCCTGTCCTTGTTACCTTTAGATCTCCGTTCCAATCCCCTTGCTCCTACTCATTCCCTGTTCTTGCCTTGATTATCCTACGTTTTTGGTTTTGTTAATAACTTACTTCTGTTTAAACCCTTTCCTGTGCCTCTAGTTGGGTTCTCTTTTGGGTCAAAGGCAATGGAAAAATTGGGAAATAAAGTATAACCTAACTAAACGTATGGCACACCAGCTTGAAATGGATGCGTATTGATTATGTTCTGTGGTGTGTGCTTCAAGGAGACAAGGCTTTACATACAGAAGGTAAAGAAAACATGTTTTAGTAACTATTACACAAACACACTTTCTCTTTTCTCACCCATTACCCGACATGTGGGCGGTCATATAAGCTTCTCCGACCGCCTCCTTGACCTCATTTTGGAGGAAAGACAGAATGGCTTATAACTGAGTCTGAATGCCTGTCACCTCCCCACTGCCCCATCTCTGGGTGAATCAGGTGTCCATACAATAGTCACACAGCTGGGGTCTTACATTTCGAGAAGTCAGCGCACACGGACGGTCTTTTTTTATTAGTGTTTGGGACGTGGATTTATTGTATGTTAGGGTTTGATAGGATTGTATGTTATAGAATAGGTAGGAGGAAAAAAACGCAATGATTCAAATTAGAAAACCAGTAATTGAATGAAAATGCATTTATTGATAAGCGTGGGCCACATATTACCAGGAATGTGTTATGGTGTGCTTTGATTCTTTGTTACATGGGTTTTTATTTCGCTATGTCTTTGTAGTTTGCGTCTGCCGATTTTACCTTTCAAACGGGGAGTGCTGTTGCGCACTACTATTTTAAGACGGGGCAAGCGGATGCGTCATTTCATCTTTTTTGGAAGGAATTCTCTTCAATGGTAATTTGACTATAAAATGCATCAGGAATTCACGTAGGGGCCGTTGACACCATGGGCAGCCGCAGAGAATTTTAGCGCAGGCGTTCTGAAGTAAGTGATGGCAGTGGGACCATACTCATTGATTTGAGGATTTTTTTGACAGCAGAAGATCCAATTGGATCATGATTTATGTTGATGGCAAATGTTGAAGTGCGGATGATGTTGAAGATTTTGAGGCATTGACACGGAGTGGAAGATGAGAATTTCCACCTTGCATCCGAGGTGAATTCCAATCGGCCCCCGGGCGCCTAAATTATATTTCCGCGGTATGCTACACCTTTGGATGTTTTTCAAACACATCTTCCAGACGAACTTGGGCGTACATCGTTTACGGAGACCATTATTTGTAGTGAACAGCCCGGAGCGCTGCCGACTGGGGCATAGAAAAGTGACGTTAAAGTGGGTCTCCTAGTGTCTGCGGAAGAGATGAGAACTTTTATTGGTTTATGTATCGGTATGGGGCTTGTGGTGCTTCCAGTGCAAAGGGATTACTGGAGACCGAGGAAGTATCTTTTCAAGGCCAGTTTCCCCAGCCACATGTCCCCCGGGACAGATTTTGTGGCAATATGAAGGTAGAGATCAGTATTGATACCCATCATTAGTACCTATTATTAGTGTGAGACTGTTGACGGGGAAATAACAACGAAATAATGCCTGACCGTCTTCATTTTTACGCTATGTCTCTCTTTGTATAAATAGCGTGCATTAGTAATGTTTTATCAGTTTAATCTAGGTCACATATATGAAAAATTCTTACGGTAGTCACAAAGTAACAACCAAGAAACGTTTAATATTATGAATCTTATATACGGATACGTATCACAATAGTAAACCCACAAAACCCGATGACTACCCCCCATCGTCACCCCCCCTCATCCTCCCACCAACTTCATGTCCCCCCACCTCATCATATAAACATCCTCATCAAACTATGTATATTCCCCTACCTAACATTTCATACATTCCATTCCCAATATATTTGCACCTTAATCCCCCTTCCTCACGCTCTCATCCCCCTACCTCCTACCCCCTCCAAACAAAATAATACCAAAGACGCCTCTGATCCAAATTGTAGGCAACAGCGCATGAGAGAGATAGAGAGGCTTCCGTCAACGACCCCACGTGACCGACCAGCTATGCCGGGTTGACATCATTTCTCACACGCTTCACCAATTCTCCGTGCATGGTCGGGCACGGCTGACTCCTGCGCCTTGTTCAGCGTCCAAGAGGGCATTCTCGGGGGAAGAAACTCGCGCTCAGCTCGCGCAGCTCGCGTCGGCATAAGCCGTCTCTCCCTAAGACCCTGCTGTCACCTTCCGCGGCCTCTGCCCCACTGGACGTCGGCCATCAGTTAGTTAAACTTCTTTTCGTTAGTCGCTTTTTCCGCGCCCTCCGCCTCCGCCTCCTCCACGACCCACCCGAGTGGCCTCGATCTCCCTATCTTCTTGGCTACGTACACGGTCTCACCTCCTGATGGGTGAGAGGTCTGTCGAATTCAGTGTATACACCACCTCTCCACTACTCTGCAGCACGCCGGGTGTGCGCTGTCTTACTGTCTCGCTTCTGCCACCCTGAATGTTGACCTCCGCGAACCCACGTACAGGCTAGACTGTGCGGTCGTGATCACTTGGATCCGCTTACGTGTTTGTCTCTGTTGTACCCCATCGCCACCGAGCATGCTGTGCAGGCATGAATTCTCCGCGAATCTGCATGATTCTACTGCACGACACTCGCCGCATACGTATCGGACTGACTCCTACGCACGCTCGCGCTCGCCCCTATTCACCTCTCGCACTGAGTGGCTGGCGCCTGGCTCCCGCGTGTATTTGGTCCCATGTTGACGGTCCCGGCGCGCTCTCGCGCTCTCGATGCTCGTCGCTTCCACTCTGCCTCTCCCGCTGCGCAAGGTCAAGCGCTCTGGACAGCGACCGCAGGATGTGGTGGGCGGCACTCGCGTCAGACTACGAGTGTCGGAGAGGCGCTGGGGCGGGGGTAGGTGGACTCCGTGGCATGTTCTTCCATGAAGGCTACGATATCATCCCCCGTGTCTTTCTGGTCGTTCAGTAGGTTGTTACAGCGCCTGTCACTGACCAGGACCCAGCGGTCGATGCTGTCCTGTGGCAGGCCTACTAAAGTTATGATGGTATGCGCTGTACGTCAAAGCTGGGGATTGATACTAGGCCTTGTAACCCTTCCGAAATCTTATTATGTTTTTCACCAAATGTGGACAAGTGCTGCCAGTCTAGTCTTGTAAAACTACTTTACTGTAAGGTGCCCCTAGTCCGAGTTCTTTTTAGATTGCCTTTTCACGGCGAAGTGTCAATCACGGACGAGACTGTCGGTGTGATTCTCGTTCCACGTGTGACATTTTTGACCCCCCTCGTCTCCCTCAGTGAGTTGCTTGACCAAAAAACCACAGGTGAGCCTCTGTGAGCAGGGTTACATTGGGTCTCATCGCTCTTTCTTCACTCTTCACTAGGAGAGAGGCTTTAAGCTAGCGTACTGTAATCAGACTTATATCCGGCAACGGGTTCTGCCGCGCCACATCGAATTTGTTAAACACGGCGCACGCTTGCCACGGCATATCAACTAGGAAAATGGAAGGGGGTATTACGACCATGCCAAAATTCTAATCTTGGAGCGACGAGCCCAGGATTGCGTGAGGACTCATTATCATGAGTGGAGGCTCTTGCGCTTGTTCTCTCGGTCCTCGCGTATGGGCTACTACTCGGATGTCGTTCTAAGCTCACTCAGACTGTCTCGCGCGCACACAATGACCAAAAGAACGCCCGCTGGTGTTTGAGAAGGCCTTGTGCCTATGTCTGCTGATGGATATGATGGATAGAGGACCTTGAACAGCGATGTCATTGATCCATTCCTGTCTCACCTAATGCGGTGTCCCTGCCTATAAGCCTTACCGCTGCTCTGTCAAAACGCACTATCATCACTATCCGACACTAAACCTCAGTCGTCACGCACAATCAGATAGCCTCACGAGTTGCTGACCGCTATCGACGATAAGCCTGTCTCAACGCACTACCTCCGCATACGATAGCACTCGTGAACCCGCCCTCAGACGCATGCACATGCCGTGTGCTCGCTCACGCGACCCAAACGCCTGCCTCTAACACCCTATTTTGCTATAGCTGTCCGTGTCTGTTAAGTGAAGACTATCTCTGCTCCGCTGCCCGCCTATCGGCTCTCTATGACCTCCGGTGGACCCCCGCTAACGATCGCATCGCACGTCGCTCCCCCCGCTATCGACTAGATGCTCAGTGGACGCTATCGCTATATGCTGTGACCTGCTATCGCTATAATGCTGTGCTATATCTTCTACTTGTGATCAATCCTGCGGATACTCTGCTGCTGGCGGCGCTCTTCACGGACGGAAAGCATGGAGTGAGTGCGTAGAGATGGGGAGACAGGTTTACGAAGCTCCGCAGTACGGACCTTTAGTTGGCTCTGAACCCGTTGGAAGACTTTGGGAGGTGTGGGAGGTGATGTGGTGAGGAGTTTTCCGGTCCGTTGAGATCTCCTTTCGCGAGCGGAGGCGAGTGTTACAATGATGTGGTTATTTTTGCGCGTGGGAACGTGAGCGTACGCATCACGATCGAGGTCGCTGCGGCTAGCGGAGAGTGGTTGAGAAGTGCGTGCCGCCACCAGGAATCTTCTTGCTTCATTACTTTGCTTCTTCTTCTATTGCTTTGCGTGGGGAGCTTGCGCGGAAGCCATGTAGGCGTGTGCATAGGATGGCGGACGGTTCTGGGCTGATGTCGGCGAGGACAAGAGCAGAGGACAGCGCCCAGCTGTTGCAGAGAGGAGTGGGAAGCCCCAGCGAGACCGCGGGAGCGTGGCCGCGCTATTGAAGGAGTCGGGCTGTATAGAGCTGGTGGTGAGACAGATGCAGAGGAGCAGTAGGGATCTAGTTGAGCTCTGAACAGGTTGTGTCAAGGTGGAAGGTTGTGGGAGAGATGTTTGTCGGAGGGAGCTATTATATGTGCAAGGCGCCTGGTCTTGGAATGTTTGAGATGAAGGTTGAACGGGTCAGGGGAATTATGTTGGGTGAAAAAAGAGCGACGTTGTGTGATGCTTCATACGTCGAGATTATCGGCATGACAGAGGATCTCTTTCTCTGCCACGTCTGTGCGATTCCACGGCGCGCAGGCCACGACCACTGGGAATATCTCGTGTGGGAGAGGAGAGGCTCTGGTGGAGAGTAGCGGCCACGGCCGGCCACAAAGGTCTGGAAGAAACCCAAACCCACGGAAGGGGAGTCCGTGTAGAAGGGGAGACTGATGGGGAAGAGAATGTCGGCGAGGGCATTGATGTTGCAGGCGCCCCTTTGCATAGAATCTTGGGTTGGAGAGTAGATATTCAGGATAGTAGGGATGGTCGGGAAGCCGCTGTTCGTGACGCTCTGAAGGTTGACGGCAGTAGTGAACGCTTAAGCAGAGACTTATAGAAGGGCGAGAAGAGCGGAAGATGCGCGAGGAGGGCAGCATGTACTTGGGACGACGAGCCAGAGTTCAGTGCCGCTCAGAGCGCTGCAGGATGGGCAGCACGGATGGGGCAGCCCTGCGTAGAAGAGTGAAAGATACAGGATGGCTGCTTTGTTAGTGAGTCCGATTGACTGTTCAGTCCGCTACTCGGCGTCGGCATCTGATAGAATCAGAAGATTAGGTAGAGAATGACGCTGACCGCCGAGCTACCCTTGGGAGTTAGGTACGTAGGCCAGCGGGGCTGGCCTACTCAGCGGAGCAGATCCATTAGAAACAGGATAAGCTCTGATGAGAGTGGGTAGCCAGCAGTAGCGGGTTGCAGAGTGCCGCAGCTTTATCAGAACTAACAGCGATATTACCTGTATCAAGCGCGGCTAGCAGCAGCAAGCACGGCAGCAGCAGTAGCAGCATCCTTAGAGATTACAGTAATATCTAGTATCAAGCCACAAGCAGTAGAATGTTGTCGTAGCTGATTCAGGGTTTCAGATAAAGCGATGCAAGTGAAGAGAGATTGAAGTCACTGAAGCCGGCAGTGTAGCGCAGTAGCAGAGTCAGGACCATTCTGGAAGGAAAACCTGTTGGAGTCTGCAAAAGACCTGAGATGGGACTGAGATTTATCTACCAACAGGACAATGATCCAAAAATAAAGCCAAATCTACAATGGAATGGTTCACAAATAGCCGTATCCACGGTGTTTTTTGAATGGCCCGTCAGAGTCCAGACCGAATCCAATCGAGACTCTTTGGAAGGTGAAGATGTGTTCACCAAACGCTTCCATCCAACCTACTGAGCTCTAGTGATTTGCGAGAAAGAATGGGAACGAATTACCTAGTCTCTCGATGTGCCAAACCTGATAGAGAATACCCCCAAGCAATTGCAGCTGTAATTGCAGCAAAAGGTTGGCGTACAAAGTTCTTAGCGCAGGGGGCGAATAATATTGCACGCCCCACTATTTTCAGTATTTTATTTGATAAAACAGTTTAACTGTATACAATAACTGTTTGACACTTCACGATTGTGTTTCATTGTTTGTTGATTCTTGACACAACATTCATTTTTTAAATCAGGACCAGAGCTGGCGGGTTTTACTTGTTGTACACGTTTTTATTATAGACGTTAGGAGAAACCAAAGCACAGGGGGAAACCCTCGGAGAGCATACATCTCCTCTCAGAAAGGCTTTGTTCCGACTGGGATTTGTGCCCAGGACCTTCTTGATTAGCACTAAAACATCATCCTCTCTGACTTTTCGGGATCTAAGTAACTAATTGGTAAGTCAACAGAATAATTGGCTAACTAATTGATTATGTAAAAATGTCAGTACCTTTATGTACCAACTCGGACTCTGAGGGCTGCAGGGACATGCGGAGGCAGCTTTTCAGAATCATGCAGCAATCTGGAAAAGTCTTCCTGAAAATTGTGAGACTCGCTTCTACTTTGACAACAAATATTGTTTAATACAGTCCTGCGCTCTAGTCTTAGAGCGATCTAGGGAAGAGCGCGTGTATGTGTCTGATTACCTCAGGAGAGCTGTGGCTACAGTAGTCCAATTCAGTTTCCAAAACATTTAAAGCATATATTTAGTGACCCAAAAAGAACTGTATAAAACCAGGGCATCATTATTAATTTATAAAACACAAATTTAACAGGTCACACACAGAAAACTATTCCGAACACTTGTGATTACCAGGCGGCACAACTACAGTGCCTTGCGAAAGTATTCGGCCCCCTTGAACCTTTCAACATTTCGCCACATTTCAGGCTTCAAACATACAGATATAAAAATGTAATTTTTTGTCAAGAATCAACAACAAGTGGAACACAATCGTGAAGTGGCACGACATTTATTGTATAATTTAAACTTTTTTAACAAATAAAAAACTGAAAAGTGGGGCGTGCAATATTATTCGGCCCCCTTGCGCTAATACTTTGTAGCGCCACCTTTTGCTGCAATTACAGCTGCAAGTTGCTTGGGGTATGTCTCTATCAGTTTTGCACATCGAGAGACTGGAATTCTTTCCCATTCTTTCTCGCAAATCAGCTAGAGCTCAGTGAGGTTGGATGGAGAGCGTTTGTGAACAGCAGTCTTCAGCTCTTTCCACAGATTCTCGATTGGATTCAGGTCTGGACTCTGACTTGGCCATTCTAACACCTGGATACGTCTATTTGTGAACCATTCCATTGTAGATTTGGCTTTATGTTTTGGATCATTGTCCTGTTGGAAGATAAATCTCCGTCCCAGTCTCAGGTCTTTTGCAGACTCCAACAGGTTTTCTTCCAGAATGGTCCTGACTGCTACTGCGCTACTACTGCTGCTTCATTTACTTGCCATCTCTCTTCACTTGCATCTCTTTACTGAAACACTGATCAGCTACGACAACATTCTACTGCTGTGGCTTGATACAGGATTATTACTGTAATCTCTAAGGATGCTGCTACTGCTGCTGCTGCTGCTGCTGCTGCCGCGGCTTGATACAGGTTATCGCTGTTATTATCTGAGGTACTGCTGCTGCAGCTGCTGCACCGCTACTGCTGCAACCCACTCTCTCAGAGCTTATCCTGTTTCTAATGGATGCTGCCCGGCTGAGTATGCCGCGCCGCGCTGGCCTCGTACCTATGCTCCCAGGGTCGCTTCGGCGGTCATGCTTCATCTCTCTACCTAATCTTCTGATTCTATCAGATGCAGCTGGCCGAGTAGCTGCGCTGAGCCGTCAATCGGACTCCTAATCAAAGGCATCCATACCTGTATTCTTCACTCTTCTGATCGCAGGCTCCCCCATCGTGCTGCCCATCCTGCAGCGGCTCTGAGCGGCACTGAACTCTGGCTCGTCTTCCAAGTACATGTCTGCCCTCCTCGCAGCATCTTCCTGCTCGCCTTCTATGACTTCTCTGCATAAGCGTTCACTACTGCTCGCTCAACCTTCATGCGGTCCGAGACGCGGCTTCCCGACCATCCTACTATCCTGATTATCTACTCTCCAACCCAAGATTCTAAGCGTAAGGGCGCCTGCAACATCAATGGCCCTCTCCGACATGTCTCTGCCCCTACAGGTCTCCGCTTCTACACGGACGTGCCCCTTCCGTGGGTTTTGGGGGATTCTTCCAGGACCATTGGGTTGCCGGGCCGTGGCCGCTACTTCCACCGGAGCCTCTCCTCTGCCCTACACGAGATATTCCCAGTGGTCGTGGCCTGCGCGCCGTGGAATCACACGTGGCAGAGAAAGAGGATCTCTGTCATGCGCGATAATCTCGACGTAGTGGAAGCATCACACAAAGGTCGCTCTTTTTCACCCAACATAATGTCCCCTGACCCTTTCAACCTTCATCTCAAACATTCAAAGACCAAGGCGCCTGCAACATAATAATAGCTCGCTCCGACACATCTCTCTCCAACCTTCCCATGACAGCAACCTGGTTCAGAGCTCAACTAAGATCCCTACTGCTCCTCTGCAATCTGTCTCCCCAGCTCTATACAGCCCACTCCTTCAGGATAGGCGCTGCCACGCGCGCGGCCTCGCTGGGGCTCCCACACCTCTCTGCAACAGCTGGGGCGCTGGTCCTCTTCGGCTTTCTCCGCCTACATCAGCCCAGACGCGTCCGCCATCCTGGCTGCACAACGCCTACTGGCTTCCTCGCAAGCTCCCAGCAAAGCAATACGAAGCAAAGTAAGTGAAGCAATAAGATTCTGGTGGCGGCACGCACTTCTCAAACACTCTCCGCTGCCGCAGCGTCCGACGGAACGTGATGCGTACGCTCACGTTCCCAGCGCGC